AATCAAGGACATCTAGGGAACTGAGTTGGACACTTATTGCCGAATGTTCTAGAGTAAAACTAGTTGAGCCTCGAATCTTAATGTTTCTTCATACATTAAGTTTTATCACAATGTCACTAGGTGATGATAATAAGGCGCTTTGTAACAGGCGTATGGGCAACCCGTGGGCTTAGTCGTTAGGTTCGACTTTGCACACGTTACAAAGAAATTAATTTGCATTTCGAGTCGTGCTGTAGCACACAAGCCAGCAATTCGAGGAAGTTTACGTGTGAAATAAAGAACTCACACAGCCACAATGGAATAGTCCCCCAGTAGCACAGCGCTAGGAACCGGGTTTCGATACCCGTGGTAGGCAGAGCACAGATAGCCCATTGTGTAGCTTTGTGCTTAATTACAAACAAACACAACGGAATACAAATAACTTCTTTATTTATTTATTCACTTTTGGGTATTTCACTTATATCGAAACTCTCTAGGTTATCTTGAAACAACACTAACTCTAAATCATTGAGTTCTTTGTTCTGAAGATCTAGGTGTTCATTAATAAGGCTTTCTATTATGTTCACTAACATAGACACAACATTAATTAAGTTATCAACCAAATTAACACGAGAAATCCTCTCGGTTATAATCTGTATAACAATTCTTCTAAGATATCTTTAAGCAATTCCACTTTAAGCAATTTCAAATCTACTATGTCTCTAGTACAGTTAATATTCTTCACTTTTCTCTCTTCATACATTATTGAACCTTGATCGAAAGACTGTTAGACTAGATCAGAAATAACATACTTACAAGGAGTTTGTACGGCTAACTTCTGGAAGATTCTGGATTACTGCCATCTTCCGTCTTCTGGAGTCAGAACAATTCCCCGGAGCTACCTCAAATTTTGAGTCGGAAACATGGAATTATATACACAATTTTTAGTGTTTTTCTGAAGTTTAGCAGATCTACTTTTAAAAGTAGTTCTTTTAACTCTATTGGTATAAGTGGGATCTTCCATCAACAATTGGATTATTCCATCACACTTTAACCAAAATCCACTTTGTTATTGGACCTTATAGAACTTATTTCTATCCCTTATCAAATATCTTTGGCGAAATCGTCCAAGACAATTAACTTTGGGTGTATAGCGACAAACTGTGTATCTTCACAAAGATTTATTCACTCATGGATTTTTGTCGCCGTCCCATTAACTGGTTTTGGTTACATTGATTCATTTAGTCAGGAGCTTTATCTAAACAATTGGGGTTTTATCTCAATATACCACGTCTGCCTGGCAATGAAGTCCGTAGCTGTGAATTTTCTTGCCTCTTGGTCAAGACATAGAATGTATCCCGACCTAACTCCTGCGATGGGCTTCAAATCTGTATCTTTGTGATAAACGTTCAGATAAACGACCTTTACACTCCAGATGTATATATATATATTT